ACAAATGCTGTGAGGGAAAAGGAGCCCTTTTCCACGGCTGGTAGGAATGTGGACTGGTGCAACCACTGTGGAGATCAGTGTGGAGACTCCTCAAAAAACTAGGACTAGAGGTTCCATTTGACCCAGGTATTCCCCTTCTTGGTATCTTCCCAGAAGAATTAAAAGCATCATACCTCAGCAATATATGCACATCCATGTTTACAATGGCAGTTTGTAATAGCTAAACCTTGCAAGCAGCCCAAATGCCCATCAACTGATGAATGGAGAAAGAAAATGTGGTTTTTTTTTTTTTTTTTAATACAATGGAGTACTACTCCTGTAAGGGTAAGTTTGAGACATTTCTAACTAAATGGATGCATCCTGAGGCCATTCTTTTAAGTGAAATAAATCATACACATGTGTAAACACTACATGAATTTTCTGACGTGAGAAACCCAAAGTGTAAATAAGGACCAAACTGTATAATACATATTGTGAAATAGGAAGAAAATGTTCAAATAGGAAGGGGAACTAGGAAGGAGGGAGGAGGAAGGAAGGAAGGGAAAAAAACAACAATGATGAGAAAAGAAAGAAAAAATGGAAACAAAACTTTTGTAAATAGGGAAGGGAAAAATGGTTGATGGGAGGTTAGAGGAATGGGGAAAAAAAAGAATCAAGTTGTATCATGTACAGGTACAAATTCCCTAATGAATGTGATCATTTTGTATACCTAAAATGTAATAATAAACCTAATTAAAAATTGTTAAAAATATTGATACAGTTCTAAATATATGGAAAAATTTTTTGTTTGTTTGTTTTTTCCAGTATCAGAAATTGAACTCATGACCTTGTGCTTGCCAGGCAGGTGCTGTGCCACTGAGCTAAATCCCCAACCCCAAGGAAAATTTTAAAAAGCAAATTATATAATCGTATATATGGTATATTCCAATTGCAAGCCCCAATATAAAATAATCAGATAATATACCACACAATATAAATGCACAGACAGAAACAAAAAAGCAAAGAAGTTTTTTTTTTCTTTTGGTACCCAGAATCAAACTCAGGACCTTGTGCTTACTAGGCAGGCACTTATGCCACTGAGCTATATCCCCAGGCCAAAGCAAAGTTATCAATGGGTTGAGTAATCTTAAAATCAACAATAGCTAAGAGTACCCATATAAAGTCTCCTCATCCAGATTTTTATACTTACCCGGAATGACGAAAATAAGTGCCTTAGGCCTGTTGACATTTTGATCATTAATGAGGTCAGTCCAGGGTCCACATTTTATAACCTGTGTTTCAACTTTACCACACAGAACGAATTCCTCACGCACAGAAATTTCTTCCTCAATTTTTGAAACCATTTCTAAATAAAGGGAGAAAAGTAGTATGAAGGGTCATTAATTATAAAACCTTAAATCAAAAATAACAATGAAGAATAAAAATGGTAAATTTTAAAATACCTAGAAGGAAATCCCATGGGATCAGAAGATATAAACTATTTAATTGTTCTGGATTATAGGATTCAAAGACAAAACAAATCAGAAGTGTATTACTTAGAAATAGGGAATCACACCTTTGCAAAATAAAAGAACATAGAGGAGGAGTTTGAATCAAAATCAATTTCCCACAGCTTCCCTCTCCAGGCTAAACTGACAATGATCATTGTCTTAGTTACATTCCTCCTTGCTGGGACAAAATACCTGCAGCTTAAAAGGACAGGTTTGTTTTGGGTCATTTCAGAAGTTTTAGTCCTTGTATGATCAATGCATGTGGGAAGGGCAGAGCAAAGCTGCTCACCTCATGGTGACCCGGAAGCAGAGAGAGCCCAGGGAGGAACGAGAAGGGAGATGACTCCTTCCAAGTCACACATCCAGTGATGTGCCTGATACAACCAGACACTACCAAATAAAAAGCCAGCTATAATGGCCCCATAACCCAACCACCTTCCTAAAGCCCCACCTGTGTGCACTAGGCTTTTAGGGAACATGTAGATATAAGCCATAACATTCTGCCCCTGGCTCCCAAAAGGTCCATACATATCTCTTTATACAAAACGCATTTAGTCCATGCCTGAAAGTCACCAAACTCTTAAGTTTCAGCACTGCTGAAAAGTATATGTCTGAAGCCTCCTCTGAGACTCAAAGCAAACTCTTAGATTTAGCCCTTGTAAAAATCAAAAGAAAATTAAACATTCTAGACATACAATGGCAAAGGATAAACATTTCCATTCCAAAAGGGAGAAACAGGGATATAAGGGAGTGGGATCAAAGCAAGACTGAAACCCAGCAGGGCAAACAGTAAATCCTGTAACTCCATGTTAGTGCCTGGGGCAAGTTGTGGTGAGATGTGAGCTCCAAATGGCTTGGGCAGCTCTGCCCCTACAGCATTGCTGGTTGCACTCCATATAGCTTCTTTCTTGAGGAAGCTCCTCTCACTGGTTCCTGGCTTCTCAAACTTCCTGGAGTCTCCAGGGCATTTTTGGTTTCACCCTCACCACATCACATGTTGCCTTCTCAGGGCCATACTGCCTGGCCTCCAAGGCCTTCTGAGATATTGCTAGGAGTCTCTCTGACCACACAACTCCTGCATTCTGCATGCGTATAAAACCAGCACTATGTAGATAATGCCAACATCTGCCACCAGCTTAAGCAGTAGCCAGACCCTTTTGAATGGTGGGTGCGGGGTCTCTAAATGTCTGGATAGCTGAGCACCATGAAATGAATCCTGGGAACCAATTTCCTAGGCAACCCTTCTTCAGCAGGGCACTTTAGGGCTGTCTTCTTAAAGCAAAGTCTTTCATTTTTAGTTTTGAGCCTGCAAAGGGTGAAGCCTTGCTGGTTCTTGTGATGTCCTCAAGCCATATTTCCTACAGTCTTAATCCAAAGTACTTAGCTAATTTTTAATGCTAATTATTTTCAGATACCAAACTCTCCTCTGGCTCCAACTTTGCAGGCCCCAACTCTATCAGAGATTCCTTTTTAGCCTAACTTGAACTTTTAAAATCATTCAGCTCTGTCATCTACTCTTGATTTTCAGTGTAAACCTGGCCCAACAAAACCCATGTCACAGCTTGAATGTTGGGCTGCTTTGAAATTCCATCTGTCAGATTAATTAGTCCACTAACTTTAGTCTCCCACAAAGTCTCAGGATACAAGCAAAATATAGACAGCTTTTCTGCCAGAGTATAACACACATAGCCTGGAGTCCAACTGCTGCCAGAGTCCTTGTTTCAAACTGACACCTTCTGAGCCTGGTTTTATCATCTGCATTTCTAATGACTTTCTGGTCTTTTGAGCTCTGACCAGAATCTTCTATCAAGCTCAGTTTATGGTACTCTAGAGCTTCTACAGCTGGCATAACAAAACCTTTCCAAACTCTTCCCATGAACTGGTTCCAAAAGCTCTGAACCACATGGTTAGGTATCACAGTAATGACCCGACTTCTCTGATACCCAAATCTACCTTAGTCGTCTTCCTTGATGCTGGGACAAAATAAACAACACAAGCAACTTCAAGGAAGACAGGCTTATTTAGCTTATGTTTTATAAGTTTCAGACTCTGCATGGTTGGCAGCACGGTGGAAGGGCAAAGGAAAGCTGCTCATTTCATAGTGGCCAGGAAGCAGGGAGAGTGAAGGTAAGAGCCAGGAAGGGATATACATATATACCCATCTAGGTCATACCTCCAGTGACATGCCTCATCCAATGAAATCCACCACCTAACCGCAAATCAGCTATAACATCCCCACAATCTAAATCACCTTGCAAAAGCCCCACCTTTAAGTGCATGAGGCTTTTGGGGATATCTGTATATAAACCATAATAATCATGAAAAGCCTTCATTTCCCTGTGGCAGAATTCTCTCAGAGCTGTGCTTCAATACTAAGACAAGGTCTCCTCCCTACCTTTACCTGGTGAAAGCTGGTGAAAAAGTACAACGTTATGGCTTGTTTTTTTATTCTCGCCAGGAGAGACAGGGACAGTGAACTCATTTACGGTCTCCATTTCTGTTAATCCTCTCTAGTCCCAAATTCTATAAGCATATTTTCATGTATTATATTAAAGTACACTACTAAATTTTGGAATGGGTAGGTGGAAAAAAAAAAAAAAAAAAACAAGAGGTAGCAACATGAACAATTTCCTGAATCTAGGATGTGCAAAAATCTACACCCAAATTACTTATATAAGTCCTTTGTCTCTGACTCTGCCCTCCTATCTATCAATGCTATTATGTCTAAAATCTTCAACAGGCTATGTTTCTTTTCAACCATCCTCTATAAATTCAAAACCCTCCCATCCTGAATCAAAACTCCAAGTATCCTTCTACCTTTTCTTATCACTTCACACCAACCTGGCCCCTTTTCCTTACATTTCCTTAGTGCCTGCATGCTCTTTTACTCATAACCTTGCTTATATTTCCTCAACCACTCCCACATTGCTTTCTCTCATTTTGTCAGTTATCAATTGATTGCCTCTCTGTGTCAAACTTTTCTCTCACTGCTTTCACTGTTTCAGAAAATGAGTCTGGGCCTTTAAAACATTTTTCTTTTGCCAGCAGTTATGATATCAAAATGTGTTACTAGAGTGGGCTGGAAAGAGGCTGCAGCAGGAAAGAGCTTTCTCTGAAGGTTTCTGGAGAGCCTGCACTTCCTTGCCTTTCTGCTGCTCAGGCTGTGAAATTTCCCAAGCCTAGCAGTTTACAAGCAGAAGTGACTTTCCTGCCAGAGTATACCAGTAATATCTGGAGCTTTCATTCTCACAACTGGGAGGAATTACAAGCATAGAGTGACTAGAAGTCAAGGATGCTGCTAAACATCCTACAGTACACTGAACATCCCTCAACAACAAATAAGGATCTAGCCCTAAATGTCAATAATGCCAAGGTTGAAAAACACTGCTCTAGTCCTAGGTTCCTCCAAGGCACAGCCATCAATCTGTGTGCTTTCTTTTTTCAGCTCTCTACTCAGGCATCAGAGGACTACAGCCTGAAGCCCCAGACCAGGTGTTTTCTCCCCAGTTCCCATAAACACATTAGAAGCCCTGGTAGCCAGGCACCTAACCTTTATCCCATGCAGTAGCCTGGAACTGTTCTGCTCTAAAACACACATAATAATGTTCTAGACTGCATACATACAGAGGTTCCTCTCTCACTTGCAATTCTAGCAGTATTTACAGTGGTGCTCTAAGTCCCTTTATACTCAACTATCAGCTTCAACTCACCTGCATCCCAAGGCTCTCCCAACAGACACCAGGCCCAGGAACTGCAGCAGCAGCCTGGGTCCCTCCGCACACTTTCACAACAGTCTTGGCTCACCTAAGGCCACAGAAATTGTGCACCAGAATAAAGCTTAGGCAACCCAGCACATACCTCTGCCATGTACTGGGCTACAATCACACCTTCAAAGAAGTTGAGCTCTCACTTCAATTTTATCCTTCATCAGGTAGTTTTCCTCAGCCATAGGCTGAGCCATACCCATTTTTGAGTTCTCTTTATACATTAACTTTACTGCTTTTCTATTATAGCTTAATTATTCTTTATATTAAACTGACCATTCAAATTACTGTGTGACTTTCTGTCCTCTGATTTGATCCAGAATGACGTACTTGTTTTATAAAACCTTCCTTGAGCATATCAGGTAAAGATAGAGCACTCAGACTGGTGCTCTAAGTTGGTTATAGTTTATCCATATACTTTCTAACATTGTTAAGATATTACTTCCCTAGTCTCATTTTCTGTTGCTCTGTGTTTATTATTTTTATTGTCATTTTAGGGAGTTTAGGAAGAAAATGAAATATATTCTAATCTCCATGCTTAACCCTAAGTCCTAAGCTGAGTTTTCTAAATAAGAATATTAAGAAAAATGAAAAATTCTCACTTAAAAAGTAAGAACCACTCTTGACTCAAAAATATATTGACTAAATAAAAGTATCATTACTTGATGGATTTTTAGTTCATTAATAAATGTCACTAAAGTCTCTGGTTTCCAAAACTATTACACCGTGTATTTATAAAGGTCTTCAGACATTTATAATATCTTAGGAACAATATTAGATGGAACTGTATATACACTATTGATTTAGAATGCTTACTTTGAAAATACTGGCCATCCTGAACACTTTCAACAGAGGGGAATTCAAAATTATTAAATACATCCAACTCATAAATACTAAACTTCAAGTAAATGACACCTTGAGAGTTCTGATTAGCCATAAAAATGAATGCAAATTCAAGCACATATGGAACTCAAGCAGTCTATAAAAATTGAAAAAAAAGGTAAACACAATTCTAAAATACCTCAAATAAAATTTAACTGAGATCCATGTAGTTAACATATATATTTCCAAGCATCTTTCAATTTCTTCAACTCTCATGTTTCTGACTCCCAGATATCCATGTAAAGGAAGCAAAGGAAAACATGAGATGTGAGAATCCACCCTCTTCCTTACCTAAGAATCCAATGTAAAAATCCAATGTAATTCACTTCTGCAAGAGTGTCCAGTGTCAGAGTGTTAAGAACAAATGCGGTGTTATTATATATTTCAAGAGCGGTGGCTCCACCTTTAGCCTCAGCCCATACGTGACACTGAATGAAAGCAGTTTGATAAGAGTCAAGATCTAGGCTAGATAAAAAGCAAGTGTACATTGATTGTGCAATGTAGGCAAACCTGTTTTCATAAATACAGGCATTCATTCATATTAATTATTGGTTTCCTAACTTTATGTAATTTTTTCCAGATAGATCTATACATATCTCAATATTTAAGGCAGAAAATCAGTATTTGATTAGAATACAGTACATCTTAAGAGATTCAAATCTATATTATTTGTTTATAATATAAATGTATGTATTATAAAGTCTTTATAATATAGTTAATGAGAACAAGGCTGAACTGATGAATAAAAATATCTGAAGTGGAGTTATAAGTGTATCTCATTCAGTTTCAGCATCAAAATAATGTCTGTACTTTACTTCAGCTACTCAGTAAGAATTCTTTTTTTTCCATGTAGGAATTATCAATGGTAAATTTTTCAAAAGCTTGCTTTACAATGTTGGAACTTCAATCAAATTACATTAAACTTGAAAAAAGTGGTAGGATAGTTTTCTTTCAAATATAAAGGATAGGGGCTGGGAGTTTAGCTCAGCGGCACAGCACCTGCCTGGCAAGTGCAAGGTCATGAGTTCGATTCCCAGTACCGGAAAAAAAAAAAAAAAAAAAAAAACAACAAAACAAATCAAAAATAAAGGATAAAGGCCGGGGATATAGCTCAGCAGCACAAGCATCTGCCTGGCAAGCGCAAGGTCCTGAGTTCGATTGCCAGTTTTGTTTTTTTTTCTATAAAAAAAGGATGAACAAAGCTAATAATAAGCTGTATTATTTCTCATATGTATAAGGTGGGTAACTTTGTGGACTGCATTGTCATATCACAACACAGAGCACAGCAACTGTTTTTTGGTTCTGAGCCTTGAATGGCAATTAACTAGTGCTATCCTGGGCACAAGTATCAGAACTTCTTATAAAATATTTGGCATTCACACACATATAGATTAAAATTTTAATGGCTTGTGGCAGACTTACAATTATTTGTAACTAATTCCAAAACACAATATATGTATATATAAAAAAAGCCAGCAGAAGCTCTATTTCAAGTTTTTTTGAAATGCTAGTTATCTACATATATAAATGTTTAGCACATAAATAGCAAGTAAGTCTAGAAGTTGTTTTTAATTAGAGGATTTTTCTTAGTTTAAAACATATACTAAAATTAAGTATGAATCTGTTTTATCAAGAGCAGATTAGCTTGCTTTCAAGTTATCACCCATTGAGAACAATTAGAGAAGCCACAGAAATTATTTTTAGTATGCTCAGCTGTAAAGCCATCAATTAAAGAGGATGAGGCAAGAGGACTGCATGTTCAAGCCCACTCTGAGCAATGCACTGAGATCCTGTCCCAAAATAAAAAAATTTAAAAAGGGCTGAGGATTTAGCTTAGTCCGAAAAAAAGTAGAGAAAAATATCAATGAAACAGAAAGCTGTTTTTTTTTTTTTTATCAATTAACCCAATTACCACCAAAAAAAGATAAAAAGAGAGGAGGTTACTAACATCAAAAATGAAGTACAGGTTATCACTAAAGACCCTACAGAATACTATTACTTTGATACCCAAATCAGACAGACAATGCAAAAAAGAAACCTATACTCCCCATTTCTCATAGCTATACCTTAACAAAATATTAGTAAACAGAACTCAGCAATGTATAAAAAGAATTACATGCCACACTTAAGTGAAATGTATTCCAGGTATTTTCAGCAAAATAAGTCAATCAATGTAAGTCACCACAATTCAACAAACTAAAGAAGTACTGTCTGCTGGCCATGGTAGCACATACCTGTAATCCCAGCACTTGGGATGTTGAGGTAGGAGGATTGCCTTAAGTTTGAGGCCAGCTTGGGCTACATAGTGAGACCCTGTCTCAAAAAACAAACAAACAAACAAAGCCCTGCCAATTGACTAAACATACACTTAACTATAGAAATAGAAATTTAACCCACAGAAACAAAATCTTTGTTCACTTAAAAATTTTCGTATGAAGGTTCATGGCAGCTCTATTCAACAGAGCTCCAAACCAAATACAACTCAACTGTCTTTCAGCGAGTGGTTCAAAAAGCACAGGGTCACCCATTCCACATAATATTACTCAGCAACAAAAAAGGAACAGATGATTGATACACACAAATGAGATGGATCGCAAAGGAATTAAGCTGAATGAAAAAAGGTAATCTCAAAAAGTTACACATTGCTATGATTCTAGTTATACAACTTTTTTTTTTTTCTTGAAGTACCAGAGAAGGAACCTAGGGCCCTTGCATTGAATTATAATCTGAGCCCATTTTTTTATTTAGAGACAGGGTCTCACTAAGATGCTTAGTTGCCCTTTTCAGGCTCATATACAGTTTTCTTGAAATGACAGGATGATAGAGACAGACAGATTGATATTTCCAAAGAGTCAGACTCTGAGATGGGACAAAATGGCTATGTTGCTAAAGAAGCAGCATGATAAAGTCTGGATCTTGACTGCACTGAAGAGCACAAGAAGCTACACTTGTGACAAAGTCGCACAGAGCTGTGCACACACAGATGAATGCTTGTAAAATTGAAATCTCAACAGTCTCTCTTGATTGGATCAATGTCATTTGCCTGGTTTGAATACTGTACTACTGTTATTCAAGATGTTACTACTGGGGGAAGCTGGCTGAAAGGAGCTCTGAGACCTTCGTCTACAGTTTTTCTTTCAAACTTGCCATAAATCTACAAGTTCACAAACAAAAAGTTTTTAAAAAGAACAAAAATCTCTAATTATACATGTATTTATTTAACTGCAATTTATGTAAGTGGTAGGAAAGCGGAAAAATCTGTAATCATAACAAACAGTGCCATGTGAATTTCAAAACAGGTAATTGCAAGTGAGCATGTACAGTAGATGCCTACACAGAGTATTTCACACATTCTCTTGTAATCTGTATCCATTTCATCTTTCTCCAGAATAACAGGCCAGCAGAAATAACTGCTTCCTGTGTCTGGATGATGTCACCACTGGTTACAAAATATTTTGGACAGTTTTTCACTTGCAAAGCATATTCCCACCCTTTCTCATCTTACCTGAACAAGCAGGCAGTACTACAATAAACAAAATAAGATATTGAAGATCAAAGTTTTTAAATACTTTTGTTCTAGGTAATAGACTTTAAATAGGAAAAAGTCAACTCTATAGTTTTTAGACTCCTATTCCTTTATTTTCCAGTTCTATTACTGTACTTAAAAATTTTATATAGAATTGAGCAATTAAAAAAAACCCAAACTGCATGTTTCCAAGTACATATAAGTATGACGTATGTCACACTGAGATTAAGTACAGTCTTCTAAGCTCTTAGTAGGTAAATGAATACAAGACCAACAATTTCCCAACGTTTAGAATTTTTTTTACAAGTTTTACATTTCCTCTGATGTTGCTGTATGAATGCACACTAACCCATGAGATTCTTCTCAGCCTGTGCAACTGGGTGAGAAAATCACACTTATGTACATGATGAATATAAAATCCATTCCTACTGCTGAGGAAATACAAAAAATACAGTACCCATTACACTCCTGATGAACTTGCTGAATTAATTTTACATGAAAAATACAACTTTTCCTTTAACTCCTTTGCTAGCTCTAAGGCACCAATTATTGCATCAAACTATTGTAATCACAAACCAAACAAAAAAGTTTTTAACGTGCGGGAAAGCAGCTTTCAGCCTCTGGAGATCAAAGCCAAGAATTTCACGAGTTGTACAAAGTTGTCTACCGCATATTAAATACACTCATTAAAGTGATATGTTGATTTCCTTTTGCTTGAAGTACACTTACAGAAGACTCTGAAATTACTTAGCCCTAAATATATTGTAGCAACACTAAACGTGAAAAAATGCTAAAAGATCTTTTATCCACAAAAAAAGGAAGCCACTGAGTCTGAAGACAGAAAACACAAAATGTTAAAATGTGAAATTTTAGGGAAACTTCTGCTTCCCGGGACAAGTGGACATGGAAGGCCTTCAGGCCTTTCATTTTAGGTGGAATAATGGGAAAACAGCTTACAATAGAGACATCAGACACACCTACTTTTTTGTGTGTGTTTTCCTTAAACAAATCTTTGTGACTAAAGACCGGAGATTCTTCTAAATTTTTCTGGGTCTCTTTTGTTACATCTCTGTCCCCCAAGAAATATGCTGTCAGAACTAAAAGGGTGCGGGGTAGTGCACGCCTGTAATCCCAGCACTTGGAGGGGTGAGGCAGGAGGATCACCGCGAGTTCGAGGCCGGCCTGGGGTAAATAGCGAGTTTAGGGCCAGCCAGAACTACAGAGCGGGACCTTGTCTCAAAAAACAAAACAAGACCACCAAAACAACAATAAAAACAAAATCAGAAAGGGTGAGAACTGTGTGGTTCGCACGATGGGCTATACACTGTCCCGGTGTTAAGCAGATGTTCAGTAACTACGGGGCTTGCGAAAGAAGCAGCAAATTCACGAAAACCTGAGTGACGCGTCGTGACTGCACCGGTCTCCAGGGGAAAGCTCCCCGGGGCTCACACCCGGCGCCGCGCGCCACCGGGACTCCTCAGGCCGCTGTAGCCCGCTCGCGCGGTTCTCTAGCCCAGCGGCGGGGAGCCCCGAGCTGAGGTATCACCGTTATCTCTACGCTGCGGGCCGCCTGGAAGAAGCCGTGGAGCCTCAGGGTCTCCTGCCTGCTCGCTTCCCGTCCTTCCTCGGTAAAGTCACCCCCAGACCGCGTGCAGCCCTCACCTGTCTGCCCAAAGGGTACTCGGCTCCAGCCAGATCCGGAGCAGCAGCGCGCAGAGCCGGAAGTCCCGCCTCCCCGCGACGACACTGCGCCGCGCCCCTCGCTACTCGCGGAAGCGGAACCTGCTAGCAGGGCGCGCGGCGAGCAGGTGGGCGCTGGTGGGAAGTTGCTGATCCTACCTTGAGGCCGGTCATCCAGAACGGCTAGAGGGGACAGGAATATTTACTTCTCTTTATTTGAATTTTATCCGCCTCTTCTTGTCAGGTGTCTGTGGTGAACACATAATTGGTGAACACATAAAACAAATGAAAATTGCTGGGCTACTGGGTGAAGAAAAATGTCAGTTTGACCCAAAGAAAGAAAAACTATGCTTGGCTGTTAGTTTAGTTTGAAAACAATGTATACGTCTAAGAACGTTCTGAACTTTGCAACACCTGCTTGCTGGAACCGGTAGGTTCCGCTCTTTGCCCTTGCAAAAAATCTTTTCACCTGCTCCAACCAGGATGTGGTTTTCAGGCTTAAAAGCTCAAACTTTCTTCGGTTCAGGGCTGCTCAGCATCTCCCTGCGTGGAGAACAGACTGACAGCTGCCGACCCGGCTAATAAAGGCTCTTAAAATTCCAATTTGGATTCTGGTCTCGGTTCTTTATTCAGGGTAACCCATTGCATTTGGGGGCCCGTCCAGGATCCCATTATTGGGGTTAAATAGAGAACCAAGACTTCTTTGAGGCTATCACTTCTCAGGGGACTCTCAGAGAGACATTCCTCTGCCCCGAGAAGATTTGGTCTCACAGACTAAATTCTTTCATTTGGAACTAGCCGTCAGGATTCTTACCGGTAAGACACTTTCTGTTTATTGGGGCAGCCCTAGGGTGTCTCTTGAGGAGTTGGACGCAACATTAAAGCCTCAGAGACACAGCCCTAGTCCACGTCAGTGGCTGGTGGCATCTGGTTTTCTGGTAACTTGTCTTTTTGTGTCAGTCTTTGTTTGTGTCAGTTTAAATATGGGTCAGTCTGCTTGTGCTTCCATGTCGCCTTTGCAATGTATTCTTAATCATTTTCAGGATTTTAGGCAACGAGCTGCTGAGTATGGGGACTCTGTGTCCCCTGGCAAACTCCGGATCTTCTGTGAATTAGAGTGGCCCTCTTTCCCAGGAATTTCCTGGCCTCCGGAGGGCTCTTTTAACCTCTCTCTTGTTTACCAGGTCCACAAGGTCGTCCTTGACAATCCTGGACACCCTGACCAGATTCCTTACATTCAGGCTTGGCTAGATTTGGTCCAGGATCCGCCTAAGTGGGTCAAGACTTGCCAGTCCGAGCCATACCGCCGCACCAGCAACAGGGCAACCACCGTAGCTGTGTCGACCCGCGCGGCTAAGAAGTCCTCTCAGGCACTTCTGAAAAGGCCTGTCCTCCCTTCTGACCCCGAATCTCCTGCCCTCTATCCTCGCCTACCCCATCCACCTCCCTATCCCTCTGCTCCTATCTCCCCGGATTCTACCTCACCCCTTAGCCCTTCTCATACCCGAAGTGGTCACCCTTTTTCTCACCAGCCCCGCTCTCAGCCCCCTTCCTCGACCCTCTCCTCTGTGCCCGCTCCCCTTTTACCCCTCGGGGAGATGAAAGAGGACTCCTCCCGCCCCTTTATGATTTATGTCCCTTTCTCTACTAGCGACCTCTACAATTGGAAAAACCAGAACCCGTCCTTTAGCCAGAATCCCCAGGGGCTTATTTCGCTTTTGGAGTCTGTTTTCTTCACTCACCAGCCGACTTGGGATGATTGTCAACAGTTGTTACAAACCCTCTTCACCTCAGAAGAGAGGGAAAGAATTCAAGGTTTGGGCCGAAAACTAGTCCTGGGACCGGATGGACAGCCCACCTCAGACCCGAACCGACAAGAATATGTTTTCCCTCTGACTCGACCCGCTTGGGACCCCAACTCAAATCAAGGTAAGGAGGCTCTCGATCAGTATCGCCAGCTTCTTTTAGGGGCTATGAGGGCAGCAGCTAGAAAGCCTACTAATTTATCTAAAGTCACTGAGGTTACTCAGGGATCTGAGGAGTCTCCTGCTGCCTTCCTTGAACGCCTCCAAGAGGCCTACCGGATCTATACTCCTATAGATCCCGAGGCTCCTGAGAACCGAAGGGCCATAAATATTGCCTTCGTGTCACAATCAGCCCCAGATATCAGAAAGAAACTCCAAAGGATGGAAGGATGTGAGGGAAAAGCATTAACAAAGTTGGTAGAAATAGAACAAAAGGTATTTAACAATAGAGAAGATCCGAGAGAACTAAATAAACGTATGGCCAAGGTCCTCATAGCCATGGGAGAAAAAAATGGATTGACAACTAAAAAGACCCCGGCCCCCCTGACTAAACAGAAGAGGTCAGCCCTTAGTAAAAATCAGTGTGCCTATTGCAAAGAGGAAGGACACTGGAAAAATGAGTGGCTGAAGCAAAAACAAAAGGAAAGCAAGAGCCAAGTTCTGACAGCCGCTCCCGAAGTGGACTGAGGGAGTCAGGACTCTTCTCTTGGCCCTCGGGAGCCCAGGGTAACTCTACAAATAGGGGGCCAGCCGGTCGATTTTCTAGTGGACACAGGGGCCACCTATTTGGTTTTACAGCAACCTGTGGGCCCCCTGTCAGAAACAAAGACCCGCATCCAAGGGGCCACGGGAAAAACTAAATTGTACCCTTGGCCTAAAACTAGAATTGGAAATCTGGGGACTAAACAAATGACTCATTCCTTTCTTGTCATGCGTGAATGCCCCTACCCTTTGATCAGCCGGGACTTGCTTCATAAGTTACAGGCTCAAATTTTGTTTGGGGAGGACTCTACCCAAATAACCTTTGCCGCTAAACCTGAATTTGACCCCAGGCCCCCAATGATTCTTTTCACGTTTCCCCTGACAGAGGAACATTTATTGCTAACTGAGGAGGAACCCCAACCCAGTTCTGATGTCCTGCTTTTAGCCTGGAAGACAGAGATTCCTGGGGTCTAGGCAGAAAACAACCCCCCTGGGTTGGCAATTCATCAACCCCCCATTGTGGTATTGCTAGTACCAGGGGCAACTCCTATCCGTATCCGTCAGTACCCATTAAGCTTATAGGCACGACTGGGGATCAGTGTTCACAACCAAAGACTCAAAAAGGAGGGCATACTGGTGCCTTGCAAGTCAACATGAAACACTCCACTGCTGCCGGTTCAAAAGCCCGGAACTACAGACTACTGGCCAGTCCAGGACTTACGGGAGGTAAATAGCAGAGTAGAAACCCTTCATCCCACAGTCCCCAACCCATACACACTCCTGAGTCTTCTCCCTCTGAGCTCAATCTTCGACACTGTGCTGGACCTCAAGGATGCCTTCTTCACTCTTCTGCTGGCTCCGGTAAGCCAACCTCTTTTTGCTTTTGAATGGGTGGACCCCCAGACGGGAAGAAGTGGCCAACTGACATGGACTAGGTTGCCACAAGGTTTCAAAAATGCGCCCACTTTATTTGATGAAGCATTAAGCAGAGACTTGCTTTCATATAGACAAGAACACCCAAATGTAACAATTTTACAATACGTAGATGATGTTCTTTTGGCTGCTGGGTCTCTTGAAATTTGCAAACAGGCCTCAGAGGAACTCCTAAAAGAACTAGACAGGCTGGGCTTTTGTGTGTCAGCCAAAAAGGCTCAGCTCTGCCAATCTCAGGTAACCTACCTGGGTTACAACCTGAAAGAAGGCCAACGAACTCTGTCTACAAAAAGGATTGAGGCCATAACAAAAATACCTACTCCCAGAACTAAACGCCAAGTGAGAGAATTCCTAGGTCTCCTTGGCTATTGTTGTTTGTGGATCCTGGGGTTTGCTGAGATTGCCCAGCCCCTTTATGCTAGTACAGGGGGTGACCAAAAAGGTGACTTGATCTGGACTGACCAAGAATAACAAGCCTTTCAAAAGCTCAAGGAAGCCCTAATCTCAGCCCCTGCTCTAGTTCTTCCAGATCTGACTAAACCGTTCCAACTTTTTTATTGACTACCCATTATATTCCAAATATTCTTCCAGGCTGGAGATACAAAGGCAACCCAAAGAAAAAAGGCATTGACCTCACAGACATACACTAAACAAATAAGATATGTAAGTATGTAATGTCAGTGTAAGGAGAACTAAAAGGCAAGGTTAGTGATAGCGGGAAGTCTATTCATTTTCTATTGCTTAGCAAGTTACCAAAACCTTATCAGCCTAAGACAGTAGACATTTATTAGCTCACACAGTTTCTAAGGGTCAGGAAGCCAAGAGTTGTCTAATTACTAGAGGTTTGGAGATCCCAAGGCAGTGCCCCTTAGGAACCAGTGGAACAGGTTATATAGCAGAAGGGGAGGAAAACGACCTCTTGTACAGTGGAGAAACCCAGCAGTGTCTCTGGACATGAAAGGATTTCAGAGGAGTGTTAGCCATATACAGCACTTATAGGGAGCAAATTGCAGTGGATAACATGGAACGTTCTGGAATTTCATGAGCAGCATCAATGAAGAGATAAAAAAAGGTTGCATTTGTGCTGTTGCCAAGATCAACCATGTACTGGCCCTTGAGGATAATTAGGAACTGCCATAATTGGTGGAGACCCTGTAGAAGAGGTGAAAGAATAGTTAGGGATACTTTGCAAAAAGACTGAAGGTCATATAATAGCAATCAAATGAGACAGACAAATGGATAATACTTGGGACTCTGTGGCAAAAAAGAATTCTAGTGGATGTTATGAGGACATTGGAAGGACTTGTGTTTTCCTCTTCTTTATTATTCCATTATGGGGAAAGTCGGAACAGTTGGGTAAGATATCCTTTAAATTAGGATATGCAGACTGGTGATGATATAAAACAGAAACAGAAGAGAGAGAAAGAATAAAAAAGAGCCAAGAGATAAAACAAGTAAGAATTTTTTATGTGTAACAGCTAAGATCTCTGTTCAATGTATATGCTAGAGGTAATTCTAAATGCTTTCAAATGTATGCTTCTGGAGTGTAGGCTCCACAAAAATGTCACTGATGTTCACTGAGATCCACATGAATTATTTTTTCAAACATTTTAGGTCAAGAAAGCAGATCTACATAATATTTTATCTACAGCAAAAATTTTAAGTCAATATGTCTTCTTTTTAATGCTCAGAATTGTACTATTCTAATTTTTAATCTATGGAAAATACAAAAGATACCTTAAAATTGCCAGGCATAGTGGTGCATGCTTGTAACCCTAGAACTCAGAAGGCAGAGGTAGGAGGATTGCTATAAGTTCAAGGCAAACCTGGGCTACATAGTGAGTTCAAGGTGAGCCTGAATTACATAGAGAGACCTGTCTTGAAGTAAAACAAATGATATCTGAAAATTGACAAAACCATATATAACTCCCATATTACAGCTAAGCTGTTCTTTCTTGCATTAAATAATGCAGCAAGCCAGACAGATACATGGGCCCAAAAGCCAGCAAACTTGATATGTGAGACTTGAAGATTTTTTTGTAAACATCTGTCAACACATTGTAGAGCCTGCATTAAAGCATTTGGCTTACAAAAATGATAAAGAGAAGGCAATCTGGCAAACATCACATAAGATGTTCTTGCCATCAAAAACTATACTATATATTTATGTGTGTGTATATATGCATATATATGTTGCGCATATATACCAGAGACTAAATGTTTTTAAGGCTTTCAAGATAATTCACCATAGATAGTATAACTCCAAATGTTTTTTTAATCCATGCTATGATCCGTTAGTCCCCCTCAATGAAACCACACCATTAAGAAGCTTTTAGTGGCAGGGTAGAGAAGAGTGAGGATAAGAAAAATATGGCAGATGTAGTTCAACTATCTCTACAAATTAACAACAAAGTAGAGATTGGGACTAGCTACAGATGAATACCTCCTTAGAGTACAATATGTTCCCATTTTATTGGATTCCTCAGAAACTAATTGTTCCATTCTACAAGATTTTGTGAGCTAATAATGCTGCTACAGGACTTTTACAGATAATTCCTTTTTATTTTTTAATGGAGACTTTATATTCTGTAGTAAAATAAGTATAGCATTTTTCATAGATCAGAATATCCTTCTATACTATCCATCTATCTAATGTGGTTGAGTAAATAATGGCTCTCCAAAGATGTCTCTGTCCTAGCCTCTGGAAACTGTTGCATGCTACGTTACATGACAGTAAGAATATTTCACATATGATTAACATGTGTTAAGGGTCTGGAGGTGGTGATATTATCTTGAATTATTCAGAGGGGACCAGTGTAATCACAAGCATTTATATGAAAGGGAGAAAGGCTGGAATCACAGAAGATAGTGTGACAGAAGCAGGAGAGAGAAGGAAATAGGATGGTGGCAGCAGGGATCATGGTCAGAGAATGGGACCGGAGCATCTTGAGCTATGACTTGAAGTTGGAACAAGGGACCACCATCCAGGAACGTATGTAGTTAATTGCTGGGAAAAGCAAAACAGATGATTTCTCTTTAAGAGCTTCCAGAAAGATCACAGGATTGCCAACACCTGGATTTTAGCCCATTGAAACTGATTTTGAAGTTCTGGCCTCCAAAGTAGTAAGAGAGCATATTAGTATTGTATCAAGCCACTAACTTTGTAGTGCTTTGTTACAGCAGCATGAGAAACTAATATATCAAATAAATGAAGACACACACCATTTCTATTTTGAAAATGATTGAATGATACTTTCCAAGTAGATTTCAAGCTTCAGAGTATTAGCTGTTGGCAAAAATGCATTACAATTTCTCTGTTACACTTCTGATTTCTCTTACTTTCTGCTTCCTAGATGTCTTAGAAGTCTCCTGTTTGCCTGAGTTTTCACAGTCTAGCTCCTAGCTCAGTCATTGAAAAGTAATCACATCTTTACCTCAAAAATTCAATTCCATCATTTCATCCCGTTTTCCTTCATGGCTATATATAGAATTCTTAGTTGAAATTAAAGAAAGAAACCAAAGTTCAAAAGAAATGCTGAATTATGTCCTACCTCCCACACTGGAAATTGACCTCAGGGCTGCTTCTGTACTGTACTATACTGTACCATACTGTACCTCTGAGTTCTACCACCAGGCCTCTTAAAATTTTACCTTGAGACAGGGTCTTGCTGTATTATCCAGGCTGACCTCAAACTTCTGATCCTCTTACCGTAGGAGATAGAAGTAAAGGTGTATACCACAACACAAGGCTGAGTTCCAGTATTTAAAGCCTTACGGCTTTTAGTTCTGGAGTCATCCATTTTTAAAACATTTCAGGATGAACAGAAAGCCCTATGTCTTTTATTTCTTTTCTTTCTCTCTTAAAAAATTCCTCCCAGTGATGAAATTGGGATATCAACTCTAATTTGTATAAGTACTCTTTTTGGAAACTGTCTTAATTCTCTCAATGCTGAGACAAAATACCCAACACCCAAAGTTAAAGGAGGAAAGATTTATTTTAGCTCACAGTTTGTGGAGGTTTCAGTTCATTGTCAGTTGGCTCCAAGGCAGGG